GCTTTTTCTCGAAAATGGGATGCTTGTAACGTTCGTGCACTTTGAAGATTCGTACAAATGAAGAAAACGCGACGTCGTAAAAAATGGCACACGGAGAGAATCGATGGTAAGAAAAATCCTCCTTTTTTCGGCAAGCGGAGATATAAAGCCGCAGGGTTGGTAAAGGCGAATGTGTGTGTTAGAATTAACAATGTATTAGACGTTTTTATCACGTTTGTTTGTATTTTGCATGCGACTTGTAGTGCATATCCTTTCAAATATGTCGGTTGAATGCATTTGGACACGATTTTATAGTCGGCGCACATTCACCTGCAGTAAATACAATTCTAACAGAGGATAAGAAAAGCCCTCAGATACTATGCAGATTGTTGCAGGCGTGTATTCATCTTGAGATGTGGATGACGGGAGCGCGCAGAGGAGATAATGTACAATAGTCTTCGTGATGCTGAAGAAAATCCTAATCATTTGTGCATCATGTGATGTTAATGGTATCATTAATGACTCTAAAGCCATTGTCATTTGTTATGTTCATTAATTGAGATTACCTTATCTAACTCAAAGCTGCATTATGTTGTCTATTACTAATCAATATTTCTTCTTCCCTTGTGTCCTTGCAGCAATCCAGAGGGTCTGCCATGAACCAGCAGCACAATGGGAGTATTAGCTCGCTTTTGGGTGACCTAAAGGCAAGATGGGCAACACTCTGAGGCTGTAAGCATCTCCATGTGTACCATGAACAGCACTGCCTGGCCTTTGGACCTGGCTGAGTTTGCAAAACCTCGGGGATTCAACAGCTCCCAGAGCCAGTCTGCTTCGGCAGGCGGCTGGGCCTTGATCCACACAGCCACCTTGGCCTCATGCTCCCTTTTGTTGGTCCTCATTTTTTGCCTTGGCTCTTATGGAAACTTGGTAGTCTTCTTGTCCTTCTTCGACCCAGCGTTCCGTAAGTTCCGCACCAACTTTGACTTCATGATCCTCAACCTGTCCTTCTGTGACCTGTTCATCTGCTGTGTCACTGCCCCCATGTTTGCACTGGTGCTCTTTCTGGACGCTGGAGACAATAATGGTGGAGTGTCCAAGGGCTTCTGCTTTGCCTTCCACCTCACAAGCTCGGGCTTCATTATTATGTCTCTTGAAACGGTGGCTGTGATCGCCCTACATCGCCTTCGAATGGTTTTGGGTCAGCAACCCAACCGTACAGCTTCGTTCCCCTGTACTCTGGCGCTCACGGCACTGTTATGGACATCCAGTTTTACACTGGCGGCTTTGGTCACTTTGCGAGCGTATCCCAGAAGCTCTGGACCTTGTTTGCCCCACTTTGGTCTTACCGGCAACAAGGCCAAGGTGGTGCTGTATGTATACATTGCGGACTTTGCTTTCTGTGTAGGTGTGGTGTCCATCTCTTATCTTATGATCGCTCAGGCATTGAGGAAGAACGCGCAGGTACGCAAGTGCCCCATTATTACAGTTGACGCAACACGTCCACCTGCCTCTCATCCGCCACTAATTGCTGCTGGGTTTGAGGGTATGCAGTGTACAGTGCAAGTGCCCTCACTGTACCGCAACCAAACCTACAACAAGCTTCAGCACGTCCAGACGCACTCCTTCACCAGAAGAACCAACCAGCCCCTTGTCCCCGGAGCCGCCACTGGTGCAACCTGCTGCCAGTTGGTCACCTCCGTTAACTTGGCCACGGCCAAGGATTCAAAGGCTGTAGTGACTTGTGTAGTGATTGTTATCTCCGTGTTGTTGTGTTGTCTACCACTAGGTATATCCTTAGCACAGGATATGGTGTCACCAGAGAGCAGCTTCGTCCACTACCAGTTTGAGCTCTGTGGGTTCGCCCTGATCTTCCTAAAGTCTGGAATCAACCCGTTTGTTTATTCGCGCAACAGCGCAGGTCTCCGTCGCCGTGTGCTCTGCTGCCTCCAGTGGTTGACCTTGGGCTTCTTGTGCTGCAAGCACAAAACACGGCTGCACGCAATGGGCAAGGGAAGTCTGGAAGTCAACCGCAACAAGTCCTCTCACCACGAGACTAACTCTGCGTACATGCTCTCACCGAAGCCCCAGAGGAGGCTGGTGGACCAGGCTTGTGGACCCAGTCACTCTCGGGACAGCATGCCTAGTCCATGTGCCACTGCTGGACGCAAACCCCGACCCCCGAGCACATCCACACCCATCAACACTCGCATAGAGCCCTACTACAGCATTTATAACAGCAGTCCGTCAGCAGGGCCGAGCTCCCCTAACAGCCTTCAGCCGGTCAACTCTCAAACCACACCATTTGCCAAAAGCTACGTGGCTATGCACTACCACATCCACCAGGAGACGCTCCAGGACTTTGACAGCACCTCAGCCCATCAGATCCCCATCCCATCAGTCTGAGCCCCAAAATCTCACACTGCGTTCCAAAAAGCATACATCGCCCTACTAAGGACACTTTGAAGTGAAAACAAACATGGCCGCCATATTGACATGTAATTCCAAACTGAAGTGCTCAAAACTGGCCACTTCAAAGGACTCTTTGGAATGAAATATTTTGAAGGATACAACTTATAGACCGTGAGCAGGGAAGTTGTTTGGTGTCAGACAATGTTTAGTTCAGAGGGGCTCATTCCTATGCCCTAATCTCTTCAGAGGGACACTCAGAAGGGATTTGGGCATCAGTAGGAGACCTTCTGAGTGTCATATTAGATGCTCGGCAAGGAGAGCATTAGCGGTGTTTGCTTGTGGTTTGCTAATGGTGTTTTGCTGAAAGACAATGTGCATCGAGAATCAAATAAAAACAACATGGGACAAACCTAAAATTCACTTTGCGCAGATTGTGACTTTGGATGATTTATGGACTGAAGGATGTTCTATTTTTACATTAACATGGCATTTTCATGTAATAGTCTTCACTTCAGATTATGTATTTGTGAAACATCCTACATTTTATATATGAACTTATTAAATGTTTTGCAAGTGTAGTTGGACACCATCTCTTTCATTTGAAAACATATTGACTTTATTCTCTTTTCTTTTAGGTATTCACTTCCGAGTATTAATATGGATGAATTCTTTTTTTAATATACAAGCATTCAAGCTTTTCTGTGAATTAGTTCATATTCACATAAGGGACAATGGCACCACCTAGTGCAGGAAAATGGAGCCTTTAGGCCAATTCGTATTGCTTGGCACAGGCAGTTTATTTCTCATTATAATGATGAAAAATGTTACACCCAAGACAATTTCATTAAATGCTTAATTATGAAGAGATGGGATTTTCTTATACCCTGGAAAAACAAATATTTCTTTGTATTTATTTCTTGTTTTCTAATTCATAATGCACATTCTACACTAGAGCCCTGCATTTTAGCTCGAGCCCGTCAGGGCCTGACATTTTTTTTTTTTAATGCCCCTAGAGCTGGGCTTCGGGCCAATTTTCACATCACAGCCAGCATGCATATCGGACTTCGAGCCTGCTTAAAAAAAAAAATAATAACTTCAAAAAAAAGTTTGAGATCTAATGCATGCAGTCCAGAAGTGCCAGTGATGCCTTGATTTCCAACCACTTAGAATGGAGAACATAGCCGATGGTGAACTTAAAACTGTGAAAAACACTACAGGAAAGGCTAAACTGGTCAACTTTTCCATTTGAATAAGAATCTGGTCTATTTTAATGGCTGCAACAGTATAAACATTTTGGCAGGCTTTGGGACAAAAATTGCTAAGCTGTTGGATAAGAGCAGGGCTACAGCCTGTGAGTCAAGGGCCAGGCTACGACTTAGATTTAAGGCCCATGCAGGGCTCTATTCTACACATATGAAGAGTTTAGTTGCAAAAATCTCAAAGTGCCATCTGAAATTTCCATCTAAACTGAGCATTTTTCTCAGACTGTTGTGTGTAGTTTCAGTAATTTTACTCTTAGTACAGAGAATGTTATTTTCATTGCAATTAAAGTGAAACAACTGACTACAAACATTGGCTAGAAAAGAAAAGAAAAAGCAAATTTTAGAGGAAAATTTCAGACGGCAGACATGGCACTTAGAGGTTTTTGCATCTAAACTCTTCATACACATGTATATTGAAAGGCCAAATGACATCCTTATTCATTTTCCCACACAAAACCCCACGAACACGGGGAGAACATGCAAAGTCCACACAGAAATGCCAACTGACCCAGCTGAGGCTCGAACTAGCAACTCTCTTGCTGTGAGGCAATTGTGCTCCCACTGCACCACCATGACACCAATTACATCATATATATATATATATATATATATATATATATATATATATATATATATATATATATATATATATAGTCTTATTTTTCAGATAATCAGAAGCTTCTATCACTTAGAACTAAACTTTCCATCCTGTGGTAAGAAAAATAAACAATTATTTCCAACCTCATTGTCTATTTTTCAATTTTACCAAAAAAAGTACATCATTAATATCTTTTTTTTCTAAAGTAAATGTACATTCATAAAATGACCAGCCATTTATCATAATCATAAACAAAATATTCACATACAAAATTAATAATAATAATACCCTATTTACTTTCATTGAGGTGTTTACATGGAAATAGTTTGAAACACAAAACTCATATTTTATTCAACTGAACATATACAGGCTGAATAACAACCAACCTAAAAAAAATAATCTATCTTAATACAGGGGTGTCCAAAGTCAGTCCTGGAGGGTCGATGTCCTGCTGAACTTAGCTCCAACTTGATTAAACACACCTGCCAGGAAGTTTCTAGTATATCTATAAGAGCTTGATTTGCTGGTTCAGTTGTGTTTGATTAGGGTTGGAGCTAAACCCTCCAGGACCAAGTTTGGACACCCCTGTCCCAATATATTTGTTCTCAGAGTTAAATTATTCATTTTTGTACAGTAAGGTGAAGCTTTCTGGTGGAAACCTTAATAATACACAACCTAGAATAAGCGGTTAAATTTAAGCCGAAATAATTCAAAATACCAAACATAAGACTCCATAAACCTGGATTTTCAAAAAACTATTTAATTACATTCACGTTTCTTTGCAAACAAAACAGTGTATTCTCCCTCACAAACTGCATAAGAACAATTACTTCAATTTTTAAAATCATCTCTGGCTGCTCAGTGTTGACCATTGAACGACCAGAAGTTTGACCAAATAAATAATGTATATTTAAAACGGCAGAGCTGCCTTTTTTAATTAATAGAATAAATGAAGCACTTGATGAAATTAAGAACAGAAGACCTTCCCAAAGCCAATCTAAATGTGTCAAAGCATATTTCCTCAAGTCTGAGATTTGAAAAGAAAACATTGGAAAATTCAGTCCACGCTGCGCAAAATAAAAAAGTAGTTTCATCAAATCTCCTCCTTGTTTAATCGTCAAACACGTGAAAGTGCAGTCAGTGAGGGACTTTCTCAACAGCTCTGAGGTTCAGCAGGTTCATGCCTAAACGTCATCACACCTTTAGTTCTCCCTCTGAGCTTCATTCTGCCTTCCTCTTCTGTACTCCTCCTTCTCCAAGTTGCTGTTCATTCCTTCATCTCCTTGTCATGTAGACTAGCTAGGAATTGAAAGAAGTCCATTTTCATCCGCAGTGTCCAAGATCTTGCAGATTACAGGTGACTCAACCTGTGGCAGAATGATTGTGAGGACATGAAATGATCACATCAAATTTCTACACTATAGCATGTAGTAAGCATTCATAATCGCTGGAATCATCAGAGAGTGGAAACTGCAGTTCTGGACTCACCCCGAGGATATACTGACATGTCTGAGGCTCCAGCATGTACACTGTAACAGCATGAGGGGATTCAGACTCCTTACACCTGACACACAAACAGGTAGGTGTTATTAGATATGTGTGAAATAAATGTCATCTATAATAATGCAAGTCAAAGTTTTAGCAATGTTTAAAGTGAGTTGTCAAATCCTGGAGACCAGGAGCAGGATGTTTGGTTCCAAACTCAAAATGAAAGCAGGCTATTCTGTTCCAAACAAAACCTGAGAGCAAGACATTTAGTTCCCACCTAGCTGGAGTAGGACGTTTAGTTACTAAAGCGTGGGAGCAGAACGTTTAGTTCCTAACAAAGCATGGGAGCAGGACATAGTTTCTGACAAAGCCCCAGCGCAGGACATTTGGTTCCTTCCCAAACAATTCCCTAGAGCAAGACGTTTAGTGCCTAACAAAGCCCCGAAGCAAGACGTTTAGTTTCTAACAAAGCCCCGGAGCAGGACATTTAGTTCCTAACAAAGCTGGAGAAGGAACTTTAGTTCCCAACAAAGTCCTGGAGAAGGACATTTAAATAATAACAAAACTGGAGCAGGATGTTTCGTTCCTAACAAAGCTGGATAGGAAAGTTTAGTTCCTAACAAAGCTGGAGAAGGAAGTTTAGTTCCTAACAAAGCTGAAGAAGCAAGTTTAGTTCCTAACAAAGCCCTGGAGAAGGAGGTATAGTTCCTAACAAAGCTGAAGAAGGAGGTTTAGTTCCTAACAAAGCCCTGGAGAAGGAGGTTTAGTTCCTAACAAAGCTGAAGAAGGACGTTTAGTTCCTAACAAAGCCCTGGAGAAGGAGGTTTAGTTCCTAACAAAGCCCTGGAGAAGGAGGTTTAGTTCCTAACAAAGCCCTGGAGAAGGAGGTTTAGTTCCTAACAAAGCCCTGGAGAAGGACGTTTAGTTCCTAACAAAGCCCTGGAGAAGGAGGTATAGTTCCTAACAAAGCTGAAGAAGGAAGTTTAGTTCCTAACAAAGCCCTGGAGAAGGAGGTTTAGTTCCTAACAAAGCCCTGGAGAAGGAGGTTTAGTTCCTAACAAAGCCCTGGAGAAGGAGGTTTAGTTCCTAACAAAGCCCTGGAGAAGGAAGTTTAGTTCCTAACAAAGCCCTGGAGAAGGACGTTTAGTTCCTAACAAAGCTGGAGAAGGACGTTTAGTTCCTAACAAAGCCCTGGAGAAGGAAGTTTACTTCCTAACAAAGCTGGAGAAGGAAGTTTACTTCCTAACAAAACTGGAGCAGGACGTTTAGTTCCTTACAAAACTAGAGCAGGACGTTTAGTTTCTAACAAAGCGCTGCAAGAAAGTTTAATTCCTAACAACGCAAGGATGCGCTGTCTCCTGCTGGTGAGGTTTATTTATCATGACAAAATATATAACCAGCCAATGTACTAGCACACAAAAAAAACACTCAGCAAAATATTGATTAATAATCTTTTTTTTTTTTTATGTGTGTGATTATTGTGATCATTCTATATTGTGGATATGTGTAACTTACTTTAGCTTGACTATAACCTGTCTCGGTTTCCCTGTTAGGTCACAAAGATCTCCATGTCCATAGAAGTGAGACACAACCCTGATGAGGGAATGCGTGAAAATGTGAAATGAATTAAATAAAACTTGACAAATAATTGTTTTTCATTTGTTTTAAATCAACATTTTAAAATAGAATCATACTTGACTTTTTGTGCTCCATCATCTTTCAGATGATAAGATCGAGCCACATTCTTCTTGGCCCAGTTCATGTGATCCTCAGTGTTCCAGCTGCCCACCACCACGATGTTCTTCCCTTGCTCTTTATCCTTCAAGCAAACCCAGAGAGAATTTAAACGTTCGACCAACTGGAGTTGTTATACTTTATGAAGAATTCAAACATTTCACCACTCTTACCTCATGATACTGGTGAACATGTTTTCCATAACAGAATTCATACTTCCACCAACCAACACCCTAGACAGAAACAACAACAATGTATTGAGTTTACATTCAAACTGAAAGATCTGCAGATACAGAAGACAAATCCATCCATCATACCCCATGCAGACAGTATGAGCCGCTCAGAAACTCTTTAATCAGCTGTTCATCAGTCAGACGGGAGATGTGCGTAGTGCCAACGGTGACCTGGGCTTGACCACCCACTGTCAGGGGCTTATGGGTAGAGGTATAGGCCTCTTCCTTCACTGGAGATGTGTCCTCCTTAACAAAGAGAGACAATTTTTTTTTTTATTTGTATTGCTAAACAAAAATCTGTCTTTTGTAAATATTTATAAAACAGAATATCAATAGAGATGGGTGATATAGATTGCAATATACTAAAACCCACGTTAATTAGTCTTATGGTTGTCAATCCCTTCATACCATCAACTGAGTGTTGTAAACAACTAGAAGGAAAGCATACTTTTCTAAACAGTGATAAATATACTTGCCCAGGATGGCTTCAAGAAGACAAATACATTTTATAAGTTTCCTTATATATGGTTTGCTTTATTATCTTTTTGTGCTTTGTATCTTCTTTTTGCATGGCCACAGAGATAGTTAAATTTGCCAGGTCCAAGAAAATCTGTCAGGCTAATGACAACTCAAAACCAAGCGGCAATCTCCCGCTCTCCCTCGTGAAGCTAATACGGAAGTAACTGAAACTGCCATTCATTGGAATTCTGCTATAGTACTGGCTCCATAATAGAGCACATTTCTATTGATCCCACTTTTAAAATGGCCAACTTTACAACAGAAAAAAAAGGTTTTTAAAGCCTGGTACAAATACAGATTTTGGTGCATATAGCTAATATTAGGAGAACTGTGAGGGGGGTCTTTTTTTTTTATAACTCATCCGTTTCCTTTATATTAAGTTATGTTAAGTCTACATAATTAAGGGAGTGTCCACTAGACTGACAGCTAGGTCTCGCTGGTCGCAGTCACTTCACCTCAGCTGATTACGGCTGACAAGCAGTACGTTACATTTACACGTTATATTTTTGTGTTGTTTTATGTGGCTTTACACAGTCAGTTTTTTTGTTTTTGTTTTTTGGAATTATTTCTTACAGTTATCAGATAATAATAAAGGTATGCTGTGTGCACTTAATTGTGCTCACAAACCGTTTACGTGGCCTCCATTTCCCAGCTGAGTGAAATTATATAATTATATACCATATCTATAAAAGAATTTGTTTTATTTAAGATCATTTATATTTTTCTTTAGAATTGTAATGCACTCCAGAATCTGACAGATTGATTAGCTGTAGGCTCTAGGACAGTCCTCTGAAACGTTGTCATGCAGTGTTAAGCCTGGATTTCATTAATAGCCTTGGATTTACTAACACAAGTATTTAGAAGTAATATGTGTTTTTCTCTTTCAGAAGAGCAATATTTAGTGGCTCAATTTATTATAATAGTGTTTTTAAAGGACTAAACACTTTATTGATATAGTATACAACCAGGCACATATGGTCAGAACATAAACAAGTCGCAGGTAATGAAATATTAAGCATCTCTGCCAAGGAAAACCAGTCTAAGTAGAATGCTAGCAGGTTTCTGTTGCTCCGTTCAAGCTCTGCCTCTTTGTTCTTATTTGGTTACCTCCAGTTGGAGCAATGACACATTAACAAAATAGTGCCAGTTGGTCAAGCCCACTAGTAGCTTCATTTGCACTCTTCAGAAACCCATAGGTGATGTCAAGGTGATGACACATATCCAGCACAAATTGAATGAAAACTAGCCCAATTTTACAATTACACCCCCTCTCATTCCATAAAGGAGGTCGCACACAGAGCATTTTCTCATTATTTACTCTTCCTCGAGAGACACCATCTTTTGAACACAACAGATAATTTGAAGAATGTTGGAAACCCGTGTAAACATTTACTTCCATAGTAGGAAAAACAAATACAATAGATGTCAATGGTTACTGCTTTCTTTAAAATATCTTCCTTTGTGAAAAAAGAATGAAACTCAAACTGGTTTGGAACAAGTAGAGGAAGAATTTTCAGTTTGGGGTGAACTATCACTTTAAAGGTCCCATGAAGTGCTTTGAAATGTGCATAATTTTAGTCAATGTTTGCCGTAACTTCAACTGAAAGATTGTGTTCTGTTTTAACACCGCCTCGCCAGTGAGAGTGGTTGAGATCAAGTGCATCCAATGAAAAGCAAATAAGAAACACTTTGAAAGGGGCGGGCCATGTACTAGAGTGCATTTGATTGGTCAGAAGAATTGATGAGAAACTGGAGTACAAGTTTGACTCAAAAACATGTTGATCCATTTAGGGGGATGTGACAAACTTCAAGTTTTTGATGATTATATCAGGTTTATATCTAATAAACACAAATTGTCACTGTTTTGTAACACGCTGTTTTGATATCCTTAAAGCTAACATCTAAAAAAAAACTTATTTTTCACAGGACCTTTAAGTACAGTAGGTTAGAGTAAATACAAAATATATAGCTGAAGTGCCGCCCTGTGCTCACCCTGGATCCCCTTTCACTGCTGGTGCTGAAGGGTGGTTTGAGCAGCTCCTCCTGCTCGTGTTCCATCTGGGACAGGCTCTGAGGTCTGAGAGGTGAACCACCCAGAGCCTGGCAGAAGATGTCATTCACTGGAGAGCTCTTGAACCTGAACCCAAGTGGGATGGATTAGATGACAGTTATTAGATGACACTTTCAACCAAAACAAAGCATGATGTAATAAGGCTGGCCTTTGAGCACAAGAGACATGTCAAAAGCTTTAACAGTATAATGAGTGAAACCTGTATTATCATGAACAGTGGATCTCAAAATAAGAGAGCAACTGATTGTTTTCAAAATTAATGCAATCTTCATAGTTCAAAATGTAAAAGGAATTTTATTTGTGGCTATGGCGGAACAGTGTTTTGGATTACCAAGGCACTTCAACTAAAGTGGAAAATTAATTTGGAATTAATTTAAATGGAAATTTTTGTAAAAAATAAATAATTAAAGGTGTAGTTCACCTCATCCTCCATAGACAGCAATGGTCCAGCATCGTTTGAAGTCCAGAAAAGCAACTAAGAACATTGTCAAATTATTCTATGTGACTTCAGTGGTTTAAATGTAATCATATAAACCTCAAAGAACACTTTTTTGTGCCAAAAAAAAAAAGTAAAAACTTTACTATGTTAGCCAATGTCTCCTCGTCCGAGTGAGCTCAGAGTGTGCATTAGAATCGGCAGCACAATACACGCAAGTGTTGTATTGCCAATGGTAGAGTAGTCAATATTTATAGTGAATCAAAACATTTTTCAAAATTGTACTAAGGCAAGAATGAGTATTGTCCAATCATTTTGAGACAACTCTGATAAAAGATTTTGATCCAATTCAGATGTTGACTACTGTTAACGTACACACAAATCTGAAATGGAAGACATAGACAAAAAGTCTTTACATTTTTATTGATGCAAAAAAATTGTTTACGGTACTTTATATGATTACAGTCAAGCCATTAAAGTCACATGGAATGTTTTGACAATGTTTTTGGTATTTATTCTGTACTTTGAATGTATATGGATGACGAGAGAGCTCTTAGGTTTCATCTAAAATATCTCATTTTGTGTTCCAAAGACAAACAAAAACCTCAGCGAACTGGAACACTATGAGCTAGAAACTGATAACATAATTTTTATTTTTGGGGGGGATTTAACCCTTTAAAGGGGTCCCTTTTTCAAGATGCAATACAACTGTCAGGTATCCCTAACGTGTCTCTGTGTACCTGTATTTGGGATGAGAACAGAGCAGGGGTGTGAGCACCACCACTTCATACTGACAGGTGATGACCTCAGCGATTGTGAGGATCTCATGCTTTGCCTCAGGATGGCAGACGTACAGCACTGTGGTAGAGCGAGGTTGATTCTGTTTCAGAGTGCATTCTGTCCCATGTCCCATCTCTACGGGATAGTATGGAGTCAGCTGACCCTCTATATTCTTTGTTGGTATCTGTGAACAGATAGAAATTGTTTTTAAAAGCATCATGTCACATATTTTCTATCTACAAATCTAACACTGAGTAGCACGGTGGCTCAGTGGTAAGCACTGTCGCCTCACAGCAAGAAGGTCGGTAGTTCAAAACCTGGCTGGGCCAGTTGGCATTTCTGTGTGGAGTTTGCATGTTCTCCCTGTGTTTGCGTGGGTTTCCTTTGGATGCTCCGGTTTCCCCCACAGTCCAAAGACATGCACTATAAGTGAATTGGATAAACTAAATTGGCAGTGGGTGACGCAGTGGCGCAGTAGGTAGTGCTGTCACCTCACAGCAAAAGGGTCACTGGTTCGAGCTTTGGTTGGGTCAGTTGGTGTTTCTGTGTAGGGTTTCCATGTTCTCCCCATATTCACATGGGTTTGCACCAGGTGCTCCGGTTTCCCATACAGTCCAAAGACATGTGGCACAGGTGAATTAGGTAAGCTAAATTGGCAAAGCTAAATTCTCCAGTGTATGTGTGTGAATGAGTGAGTGTTTATGGACGTTTCCCAGAGATGGGTTGCAGCTGGAAGGGCATCCGCTGCATAAAACACATGCTGGATAAGTTGGTGGGTCATTCTGCTGGTGTGACCCCAGATTAATAAAGGGACTAAGCCAAGAAGAAAGTGAATGATTAAATCTAACAGCAACAAACCTCTGTGTTGGTGTTTGGCGATTCTGCTTCAGAGTCACTGGATTTTTCTGTTTCTGATTCTGAGAAAAGAATGGCAATTAAAGTATACATGTAATAAATGTACAAATTAAGCAAACCAAGGAATACAAATTGAGACTTCACCTGCGCCATCTTTTTTATTCATGTTCCCCAGATAGTATTCTTGAATGTTCATTTTCTGAGGAAACAGAGACAACCGAGATCACCAATATTTCATTTAAGTACACTACTATTGTAAAGTGTGTGGTCAGTAAATTTTTTTAAAAGAAATAATAATTTTATTTCAAATAAATGTCGCTCTTTTTAACTTTTTATACCTTAAAAAATCTTGAAAAAATAAATTACACAACAATTGTTTTCAGCATTGACTAATAGAAATGTTTCTTGCTAATTAAATTAGCATCAGTTCAAAAGGATCATGTGACAGTAAAACTACTGAAAATTCTGATTTGGCATTTTAGGAATAAGTTACATCTGAAAATATTTTACAATATAAAACACTTATTATTTTAAAATCGCATGAATATTTCACAATATTGAAGTATATTTAATCAAATATCTACAGCCATGAAAAATATATCAATGTCACCAAATGTTCGCGTTAATGTTTTCATTTCTAATATGATATAATAGACGCTGTAAATAATGGCCAGGGGTCCATTCTTCATTCCTCGCTTAAATGATCTAAGATTATTTGGCAGATCCTAGATCTTTCAATCTTGATAACTGATCTCTGGCTAATTGGGTTATTCAAACAAGTACGCAAATCAGATTAAAATGTCTGGATAAACTGATCTGAGATCACTGTGTGTGTTGTGAAGGACTGATAAATCAATTCTCAAAATCATGATCAGCAAAGCAATGATTGGCTGACGGCAAAGCAGCGTAATGACATCATCTAAGCTGCTGGCTTTACACTTTCATGTGTCAAAAGTATTCATCATGTATTTCAATGTATATCAATTTATTTAGTTCAACATTTGGAGAAGATTTTCTTTATTATAATAGCCTAGGCCTACTCAAAAAATGTTTAATCTGTGTAAGGAATAACTGTATAAATTTATTTCGCATCAAAAAGCATTTTGATATTGGTAAAGGTGTCAATCACCAGCATATTAGCAGTCAAAACACGAGCTTGACTACATAAATTATAACTCTTTTTTTTTTTTTTTTTTTTAAGTTGAATATTGTGCATGTATGCGTTTTCATCTAAAAAGTTCATATCAAAAAATGTCCTCTTTGTACCACCAGGTGACAGGCTTTGAACTTATTTCAGAGTGCAGATTGCATAAGTTTTATTATATTTACATTTTTACTTTATATATGTAGTTAAAAAATATATTTATTATTTTCCCAAGTGTATATAACTATCCATATCCAAATCCAGCTAATTGAGTAATCCCATACAAAGATCGGACCCCTGTTCTTTAACAGGTTACATGACACAGTGATTTTACCTGCCCTGTCTCTTTGTCCTCGTGGTACTGCCGCACATGTTTCCCATGGCAAACTTCATAGGTCCAGTATGACTCAATCTGCAAGTTTAAATGTCCATCATTAGGCCAAACTGTGATCACATTATATATTATGAGTGTTATGACTTAAGGAAAAAAACAACAAAGAAAAGAATTAAGATTTTTTTCAATAATTTTACTCTTTATTAAAAAAAATAAGTATTTTTTTTTTTTTAATGTGGTGTAGATTTAGATCTAGACATATAACAATATTTCCAAAACATACAGTACACAGAAACTGAGAGAAGAAACTCACCCTGTAAGAGCAGCTGCTCTGTTTGAATAACGGCTCCAGCAAAGCAGCTGGACTCGGCCCGCTGTACTCCTTCACCTCATCCTTCAAAAGAGACACACAATAAATTATGTACATTAAACTATGGTTGGTGCAGAAAACCATGGTTAATGTGTGGTAATCATAAAACACACAACCACAGTTTTTAATATTATGTATTTATGTGTTGCTAAAATGTTCGTAACATGCTTTAGCAAACATGTTTTTGTCATATCCTTGTTGCTAACATCAACTTCAGACTATCTGCTTTTTCAAAGTTTTAATCATAAAGTCAGAGTCAACTATGTGATGGTCAGATCCGACTTACAGCTTTAAAGCTTAAAGAGAAAACAGTTAGGAACTTTACATCTCAGAAGAATAATTTTAAATGTATATTATATTTAACTTCTCAAGCTAAAATAAAAAATCCCAATGAATAAACTCACATCCAGATTGCTTGTCAAAGATGGCAATAAACACTTGTACTTTTCTTTTTCTGTAGTTGTCATAATAACATAGTCGTCTTCTCTGTACAGGCCTCCTGACGTTGACTGTGGAAAGAGCAAACAAAAGTGCTGCAAATTTAGCTTTAGCAAAATAACGACTATGACAAACCAAGCCCTCAGCACAGATGAGTTAAGTCAAACTGCTGCATATTTACTTTAATACTTCATAATGCTGTAAGACACACAACATGACAGCTCAAACCAATACACATGCAGCTGTTATGAAGCGACCTCAGCCAACACGCTGACCATAAAACAAAACAAACCGCACGTCAACCTGTATTTACATCTGTTTGTGAGATGTTTTGACTCACCAGCGTAAAGTCTGCCCCTGGCCATTTAATTTTGAAGGGGATCTCATCTGAAAACACTGGAGATCCTGCACGATTTGCAGACACCCCGACACAAATCAGTCCCCAAAACCAGCGCCAAAACAGCCGCATCGCCGCCGCTGAGCCCCCGGAAGCGTTATCGAGACATTAGAAAGACAAAGCTGGAAAAAACGGCTATTACATCCAGTCTGTGCAATGTAAGGTTCGGCTAACAGCTGATAGTTTAACAAGAGTTACAACAGGAAGCACATCAGGAGCTTGTCATCTTGCCACGTCCATTTCCGGAATCAGGCGGAAATTCCGCTCAGCCAATAGCTCGTGAAGGCGCATTCTCTGTTTGTAGTGCTGATGCGCCATATAGATGTGCTGATGCGCTATAGCAAATTTGCAGCGTTAATTGTGTTTTGGGCGATCTGGCTTAACATTTGCTATGCTATGGCGGTTGTGGAGGAAAGTTTATTTATGCTTCCTAGTAATGTTTCATGAAACTTTATTCATTAGCAAATTACTTTTTTTGAATAGTAGTTTAAATGCAAAAGTGCCGTCCGAAATTCTTTTCTAAAATCAGCATTTTTTCTAGCTGTTGTGATGTTTCTGTTTTCATTGGCTTAAACTCAAATGTTTAAAGATACACAACATATTTTATGGGAAAATAAAATCTGATCATTTAGAGGCATTTGCATCTGAACACTTCAAATTCATTCATTCATTTTCTTGTCGGCTTAGTCCCTTTATTAATCCGGGGTCGCCACAGCGGAATGAACCGCCAACTTATTCCCTTCCAGCCGCAACCCATCTCTGGGAGAACTTCAAATTAACTTTAATTCATTTTCTTTTTAGCTCATTCATTAGGGGTCGCCACAGTGGAATGAACCACCAACTTATCCAGCATTCATTTTATGCAGCGGATGCCCTTCCAGCTGCAACCCACACTGTGGAACATCCATACACACTCATACACAACGGACAATTTAGCTTACCTAATTCACCTATAGCACAGGTCTTTGACTTGTGGGGGAAACCGGAGCACCCAGAGGAAACCCACACGAACACGTGGAGAACTTGCAAACTCTACACAGAAATGGCAACCGACCCAGCTGAGGCTCGACCCAGCGAACTTCTTGCTGTGAGGTGGGAGCGCTATCCACTGCACCACCGCATAGCCTTCAAATTAATATTTTTAAAATAATTTAATAAATAGATTCTTTTAAAGTATTTCTGCAGCAATTGAGATAATAATTATCATCAAATCAGTCAGAAACACATTTATTCATTAACAAAACAAGATCAATAAAATTTACTGATCTTTATTAACATTAGTTAATTCATTTGCAACTGTTCATTGTTAGATTATGCTATCTCAGGACTATTAGTCTAAAATTAACAGATATAGAATTTTATTTTATCATGTATTATAATAAAATGCTATATTGAATGTTATCAACATTGATTAATACATGCTTTAGAAAGATTTTTCGATGTTATTCATTAGCTTTTTAAAATCTGATTTATCTATTTTTTACAACTCATTATAATTTAGTCAACAAGCATATTATTTCATTGTAAATAAATTTGAATGTTAATTAAAACAATTATATATATAAGATCAGTCATTTTAATATGAAACTTTGATGGAAAAATATCTTTACCCTCACATTTATCTGTATTCAGAAACAGTTTATGGGTTCAAATGTATTTAATGTCAGTTATTTCCTCTTTTGATAATTTATGTCTTGCTCTAAAAAATACTATTTGACTACATGAAGTAAATTATGGCGACGCGGTGGCGCAGCAGGTAGTGCTATCACCTCACAGCAAGAAGGTCGCTGGTTTGTGCTTTGGCTGGGTCAGTTGGCGTTTTCGTGTGGTGCTCTGGTTTCCCCCACAGTCCAAAAACATGCGGTACAGGTGAATTGGGTAGGCTAAATTGTCCGTAGTGTATGAGTGTGTAGGATGTTTCCCAGAGATGGGTTGCAGCTGAAAGGGCATCCGCTGCGTAAAACATATGCTGGATAAATTGGCGGTTCATTCCGCTGTGGCGACTCCAGATTAATAAAGGAACTAAGCCAAAAGAAAATGAATGAATGAAAGAAAATTATTCGACATGCATTTTGATCCTCTATCTTCCCAAGAGGCTTTTCTCTATTCTCTATGCTCCTTATTTCTCGACTGTCTGTCATAATACCCTCAGAAACTATTGCTTGCATTAGCCACCGCATTCTCTGAAACCTCCATCATATTTCTCCTGGGTATTTAAAAACTACCATCAATCCACAAATTACTCTCAAAGCTGCCTGAGATGACTTGGTGATTGCAGAGCAGTGCTTTATTCTCCATCTACAAGATACATTTTAATATGGATGTTACGGATATTGAGAATTTACTAAATTAGCAGCCAATTTAATCTGAATAGTCTAGAATAATGGCAAGCAAAGAAAGGTTCCATTTCCATTCAAGTGAAGAGGTTACTATTTTTATAGACAGTGTCATGCTTGAATGACATTTCCACTTGGTTTGTGGATCACTGAATAAATGATGTATTTTCATGTCATAGCCGGTCTTTTGATGCTAGTAGAGAGAGCTTCTAATGTCACTAGTAATGAAAGCAAAGCAAGACCTTTAGTGGAAAGACCTCAGTGTTTATGTAGAGCTCACAATCATAGTGCAAGCTTGTTCTGTTACTTGATGCTCAAATCGTTGAAATATTTGAAAGCTTTCAGTGGGATTAAGACTATTATACAGTATATGTAGAAATTGAGTGTGTTTGAGGAGCAGGGATACTAGTGTTTGTCAAGATTGTACTTATGTTCTAATATAGATCATCATTGTAGGCATATATGACTATCAAAATCCTTTAAATGCTAAAGCTTTTATTACAATATGTGGTATTATGATGTTCAGAGTAAATAAATACAATTTGAAAGGATTACAATAAGAAAATGAAGATATTTGAACTGAAAACATGGGTGATGCGGTGGTGCAGTGGGTAACACGATCGCCTCACAGCAAGAAGGGCGCTGTTTCGAGTCTCAGCTGGGTAAGTTGGCATTTCTGTGTGGAGTTTGCATGTTCTCCCAGTGTTCTCGTGGTTTCCCCCACAGTCCATGTGGTACAGGTGAATTGGGTAAGCTAAAATTGACCGTAGTGTATGTGTGTGAATGAGTGTGTATGGATGTTGCCTAGCGATGGGTTGCAGCTAGAAAGGCATCTGCTGCGCAAAACATATGCTGGATAGGTTGGCGGCTCATTCTGCTGTGGCAACCCCAGATTTATAAAGGGACTAAGCCGTAAAGAAAATGAATGAACCAAAAACAAGAAAAAAATTCTAAGAAATAGATATTTAGTTAATGTAAGTCAGAATTATTCTCCCCTTTTAATTTTTTTTTTTAAATATTTCCTAAATGATGTTTAACAGAGCAAGAAAATTTGCATAGTATGTCTGACACTATTTTTTTCTTCAGGAGAAAGTCTTATTTGATTTATTTTGGCTAGAATAAAAGCCATTCTTAATTCTTTAAAAACATTTTAGCGTCAATATTATTAGCCCATTTAAGCAATATTTTTTTCGATATTCTAGTACAGATTATTATACAATAACTTGCCTAATTACCCTAACCTGCCTAGTTAACCTAATTAAGCCTTTAAATGTCACTTTAAGCTGTATAGTAGTGTCTTGAAAAATATCAAGTAAAATATTATTTACTGTCATCATGGCAAAGATAAATCAATTATTAGAAATTAGTTATTAAAACTTTTGTTTAGAAATGTGTTTAAAAAAATCCTCTCCATTAAACAGAAATTGAGGGAAAAAATAAACACACACACACACACACACACACACACACACACACACACACACACACACACACACACATATATATATATATATATATATATATATATATACCACTGGTTACAGGTTTTCACATTTCTTCAAAATGTCTTTTGTGCTCAACAGAATAAAGAAACTCCAACAGGTTTGGAACGAGTGAAGAGAGAACAAATAATGACAGAATTTACATTTTTGAGTGAACTAACCTTTTAAGTCTTCAAGCATTTAATGATGTGCTGAAAATCCCAGAATATTACAAGGCATTCTGAGGAAAAAACGCACACTAAGGAATTATTTACAGTATTTCCAAGAGCCCACAATAACAATATAATTTTTTTCATAATATATTGTATTACATATTGTACCTAGACTGCAACAAAGAAAATACAATGCAAACATATATCTACTAAAATTCATTTCAACGTCTAACCTCACACACAAGACACAACACAAGCCTTAACGATATCTGACAGAAAAAGCAATGGGCTTCTCTTCAACAGCGTTTTCCTTTGTCTATAAAATAAAACATCTCCATTTTATCCGACAGAGGGCGCAACCAACCCACGCTCAGGTGATGCCTTCAGTTTGTCAGCGTGCTTTACGATATGCTTCATGAGCCGGTGGAAAGTGAGCAGAGTGTAAAACAGTGTGAGGAACAGCAGACCACTGTTGGCCTCGGTCAGAGGAAATGACATAGTGACCCTCTGAAGTCACTGCCCACGATCCAGAGCCGTTCACGAGGCGTCTTGGTGCGGGGTGTGGTCTCATATTCCGCTCGGTGCCATCGCTGAAATCTGTCTCACAGGCTGAGCAGTGCAACTTAAAACATCAGCCACAATTCCAGATCCACATCTCTCTCTCATGCACTCTCTATAACCAGCTCCATATGATGAGACGCCTGCTCTACTCTTACTAACCACGACAGGGACAAAAGGTATATTTTTAATTTCTTCCAATGAAAGATAAAGTGCTGTTCTTTGTATGTGATCTACTCATGTGCATGTGAGTTTTGCTCGATGTTTTTCAATGGCTGTCTTGTTCACTCGTGATGCTTAGGAAAATGCTGTTTAACTGACAAACTGGAAGGTAGAGTTTTATCTGCTTTTGTAGCACATGTACTGTGAATGTACATTAGATCCTAAGTGGCCACTATATACAGGGGTTTGCTGGTGAATTGACAGCTGTATCTGCCGATGAGAGTGAAGTTTATTCAGGTTGAACTGGTTGTTCAAACACGGCGCACCCTTGGCGCTTCACTCCCTAGTTTTTGAATGAGTCGTTTAGTGAATCGTTTTCGACGAGTCGTGTTCATATTGAGCGTATAGTAGTTTTGGTTTTGGAAGCGCATGATTACCGTTTTGCTCAATGTTTTACAGTACGAACCAACGGATTTCCGAATAGTAGCTGTGGAGGAGCCGATCATTGGTTGAAACTGCTGAATGAACACGCCCCCTTTCATTGATTAATTGTGTTTGGAGTTTAAATTCGGAGTGTCTTGAAATGAGAAGACGTTTTGTCTGATTGAAATTAGCCATTTATTTGATATTTTATTTTATTTGATATCTACTTTTTAAATTCTTGCATATTTAGTGTTTTAAAGTTACCGTGAAATCAAAACTAACCATACGATTTTGTTAGCGCACATTGCTAGTTTTGTGGTGAACAATTCATCTGTGCATGTCATTAAAAAAAAGTTTGCTCGTCTAATATTTAATTGTGATGTGAAAATGCACTTCCAGTTTGTTTTTTGTTAAATTGTCAGAATACAAAGATTTTAGGAAATGGGCGTGGCTAAAATATTTAATCATGCTGCTCGGTCAGTTTTGACAGCAAGCAGAAATGGTGGGCAGGAGGTGTCTGTTAGGTTGTAATAATGACCCCCAAATAAATAACTTTCCCCGATCTTTCTAAATGAAATGCCTACTTTACTACATCCATTCAGCTCACGGTAAAAAAAACAAGGACAGGGGTGCCCAAGCTTTTTTTATGAAAGGCTAAAATCCAAACTTGATTAAGAGTTGTGGGCAGAAAGTAAACATTGCAAACTGTATTACATTAAGGTTGCCATGAGTAATTTCCTAAATTACTTCATAAAAGAAAAAAAAATTACTTCAACCGTAATTACTAATGCATTCAAGTTTTTCGCTAATGTATAATATTTTAATGAACCTATTACAATAAAAAAATACAAAAAATACCACTTCTAAAACAATGGAGTTCAATGCAGAATACACAAGTCATGCTGAACCAGAATTTGCCTTGATTTACACACTGATGTCTTCTGATTTGTCCCCATTTGTTGTGACGGCATGTACATTTTTTTTTAAAAGATCGCTGGAGATTGTGACGGGTTATATGTTCCTAAAAAATTACAGCTACAAATCTGCCAACACAAGAACTACAAGATTCAGTCATGCACCATTCACACACCTGCCCTAGATTCTGTCTGATTGCAAACACTCAAAGCTGAAGCCGCTAAAGTCAGCACACAAACACTGAAGTTGCTCAGTCTTCTTAAACAATACTGTGAACATTACGACATGTTTACTTTGCCTTGACTTGCCTTGTTTGTCCCTCACTTTGTTTTATTGTTTATTCTTGTCTGCTGCCTGCCTTTGACCATCTGCCTGTTGCATGACTCTTACTCTGGATTTGCCTACATACATTTGTTTGCTCCTGATTGTGACCGTTGCTTGTCTGACCATCTCTGTATAATAAACCGCGTTTGGATCCTCACTCCCTGTTGTTAGCATCACTTTGCATTACGTAACCAGTAGGAACAAAACAATCAAATAATAATAATAAAATAAATAAATAGAATAATAATAAAATAAAATGAAATAAAGGTTGCCAAATATATTCTCTTAATGATTAACCCCTAGAATTATGTTAAATTATGGATAATTATATTGTGGTTGTGAAGAAAGCCAGCCATTTACTCCATTTCTTTTCAAAGATCTATTTTTGTAATCAAAGTGCATGTATCATTTCTTCCATTTCCTCCGCTTCTGCTAATATTTTGAATCATTCATCTTTAGTTGGTGGGTCTTCTTTATACCATTTGCATGATACAGCTTTCTTACTTGTTGTCAATAATATCTCAAATAGATATCTATCCTCTTTTTCAAGTTTAATGGGAATATCTTGATAGATAGATAGATAGATAGATAGATAGATAGATAGATAGATAGATAGATAGATAGATAGATAGATAGATAGATAGATAGATAGATAGATAGATAGATAGATAGATAGATAGATAGATAGATAGATAGATAGATAGATAGATAGATAGATAGATAGATAGATAGATAGATAGATAGATAGATAGATAGATAGATAGATAGATAGATAGATAGATAGATAGATAGATAGATAGATAGATAGATAGATAGATAGATAGATAGATAGATAGATAGATAGATAGATAGATAGATAGATAGATAGATAGATAGATAGATAGATAGATAGATAGATAGATAGATAGATAGATAGATAGATAGATAGATAGATAGATAGATAGATAGATAGATAGATAGATAGATAGATAGAGCACCTTGAATGATCTAGGAATATGAAGATCCAAAATATCATTGATAGCGGAGTGTGCAGTTTCAAAGTGTACAGTTAATTCTTGTTTTAAAACATACTGTTTGCATTAACACAGCCAAAATTATTACAGAAATTTAATTGAAAATTCCAGTCTAAAAATGAATATGAATGATCTTAACCTACTTAAACGATCACTGTCACTGGAAAATCACAAAATCCCTCTGATTAATTGAATCAGCATTTTTATTAATCAATAAACATTGCGGTCCATTTCTACACATTTAACCACAAAAACTATTTAAAACAAATCAAAGTTCACACTTTTTTTTTAAACACTGCGCCCACAAAGCTAAACGCGCTTATGCCAAAACACACAGCCACATAAGTGACACAGTGACATTTCTATTTAAGCCTTTGCCCTATGGCATAAAAGACTTGTGCACATATAAAAGATGACGTTAATGATAGGGAGAGGAATCACCTTTAACCTCATCTAATGCACCTATTAGTTTTTTTAAATTCTGCTTTTAAGTGAACTATTTACCAAGCAAGAAAGAGCACATTCCTCTTTGCATTCTCATTACTCTTGTAGAATTCACTAGAATATAAGGGATTTTATTAATGGTTTTCCTCATATTCAATCCTTCACAAAAAGCAGATCAGAAACTAAGCATCAAATTCAACATTGTTTGGGAAGGAGTTTCTAAGAAAAAAATGTGAAGCTTGGCCTCACTTGCTGAAAGAAGGCAACACGGTGGCTCAGTGGTTAGCACTGTCACCTCACACAGCAAGAAATTTGCTGGTTGGAGTCCCGGCTATGTCAGTTGGTGTTTCTGTGTGGAGTTTGCATGTTCTCCCCTTGTTTTTGTGTGTGTTTTCTCCCGTGGCAGGCAAAGCAAGGCTTCATGAAACACTGAAACAGCCGAAGCAAATGTGTCAGCTTTGAAACGTTTCGAAACCCGCCTCTACAGTTTTATGTATTGCTCTGAAACCGCTTCAGCAAGAAATGGGTAAACCAATTGAGGTAGTAAAGTGATTTAGTAAAGCGGTCAGAATTCCAGACTAGCATGCAGAGAAAATGGGTTCGAATCCAGGGTGATGCAGCTAATGTGTTTTCTTTTAACAATGGTCTGACATGCGAATGAACACTTTGTAGATAAATATGTCTTGTTTCGGTCATAAAAAGTTACATTATTAAAATACAGCCAGTCATAATTCAGAGTATTTGTGGGGATTCGAACTCGGGCCATTTGCATGTTGTGCACACACTGTCCACTAGGCTACATGAGAGCACTCAGTCAAACGCAGATTTGCCAGGTCTCGAAAGGTTTTTGAGATGACCAATGCTTAATCGCTTCAGTTGTGGGATCTGGGTGTTTCAAAACACTTCAGTCATGTGACCTGGGTGTATCGGGTCATGCTTTAGTGCAGAGTTTCACTTCGGGATCTCGACACTGTGTCGAAATGTCAGTTTCATGTCAGCCATCCCTAGTTTCCTCCGGCTGCTCTGGTTTCCTCCACAGTCCAAAGACATGCGCTATAGATGAAATGAAAGAGCTAAAATTGCCCGTAGTGTATGTGTGTGAATGAGTGTGTATGTTTCCCAGGACTGGGTTGCAGCTGGAAAGGCATCCACTGTGTAAAACATATGCTGGATAAGTTGAAAATTCATTCCGCTGTGGCGACCCCAGATTAATAGAGGAAGCTGAAGGAAAGTCTGAATGATCTACTTTGAAAATACTTTTGTCCTTTTTGGTGTGTCATGGTTGTTACGAACATTAACCTAATGTACATTTGCATCATTCCGTATCGATAAACCATGGTTTTCAGCAAAACTCATTCACTTTGTCATAGTAAAGAGGATGCTTATAGTAGTGCAAATATAATCCTGTACCACAATGGCAGGAACATGCTAATGGATGAGGTAAGAGTTGCTACTTTGACAAGCTGGAAAAACTGCTTTCTGTCAGCAATACGTGTCACAATAATGGTAGTTTTCACAGTTACTACAACTATTGCCAAACTGGGAAGGATTTTAATTGCACAAAAAAAAGAAAAAAACATTTCAATAGACAATATGCAAAATCTCAATGTGGGTACAATACCACACAACATTATCAATCAGAAAGTCAAAGGTGTACCACAACTCACAAAAAATAGCAAAATATTTATGTTCTCAACACAGCTGATGTTTCAAGGCTAGATGCTACTGCATACTATGATTTGTTTTATATTTATAACTATTTTAGTTGTAAAACACTATTAAGAAGAAGTAAATTAGCCTCAGAGTAGGGTCTAAACAACAACACAAATAGGAACAAATATGAAATGCTATGATAATTAAATGATCCGGTGTCAGTCAGTATAGGCTTGAGGAACATCACCAAGTACAAGACCAAACATTTTTGATCAATCGTGAAGCATCAGAGACTTTTGCACTGGGTAGTTAGTTCTTAGAACCACCAGTCCAGTCCTCTGACAACTAAAGTTCCCATCGGTTCATTTTCCTGGTTACATTTGCACTGCCAAAACTAAAGTTGCCGACCACACCTTTTGCTTGCTTGCCCTCCCGCTTTTTTGTAAGCCGCATGACGTGTTTGTTCATTCACAAGTGCTTCTGTCTCACAAAAGCGCTCTAATGAAAGTGATGTAGAGTGTGATGTAATAAGAGGGAAGGGTCTGGACAAAAGCCTCACATAGAGAGTCACAAGTAGCTCATTTAACCTGATGCTAATACAAGTTGGAAAAAGTAATGCGTCTCAGCTGACCACTTGTGATCGGATCACCGTAAACGTATGTTGGACGATCAGCATGACACAGGAGCTGCTGAAACAGTTCTACTCTGCTGAGGTTGAACTTTTCAAGTGCTCATTTATTGTATAAATATATGCTTTGGTTCAATCAACAAATCAGACATCAGAGGACTATAATAGCTGCTGTGCTCAGAAAAATACTGGTCTTCTCAATCTCTAAAATCTGCAGAGCGAGGAAAAGGGCAAAGAAAATACCTTTGGACTAGACATGGGCTGGTATAAGTTTCCAACAATATGATAACCATGGATAAAAATATCACGGTTTCATGACATGATTTTATTGTGATAACTGCCCTAAAATATGTTATTTTTAAATGTCAGGGTAAAAACATAAACTTTTTTCCCCCCTTTAAGTACTGTATATTTTATTTTAGGAAACATTTAAAATATTTTGGAACAGTAAACATGGCAGGCTAAATAATTCAAATAAGTCATTGACTGCTGTCTTTATTAGTTTCAGAAACACAGATTGCTTTACAACACACAAAAAACACATAAAAGAAAACCTTTTACATACCTTAGAAATGGTATAACAGAAAATTTTAGCGGTTTTAAGACTTTTTCAAACCAAGGTAAACTTTGAAACCAGTTATCGTCTCATGCCTTCTCTGGACCTCACTCATCTGGCCCACTTACTTTTATTTATATATATATAAATGAGCCATATACAGCCATATGGCTCCGTTACAAGTGTGATATTACATTTATACAATAGTTTGACGGCATAAACGTGTGTGTAATAAAAACCCTTTTGTATGAGGAACTACTTTCTTCCACCATTCATTCACATCTGCAGCTCACCATCAGAACAGCAGAAACCGTGCCAGTTCATAAACATCACTTTAGTATTTAAATGATTCTCTAGCATAATGTCTAAAGTGAAGACAATTTTTGCTCACATTTTAAGATTATAAGGCTGAACGCCATCATATGCCATCAGTCTACAGAGATTTTCCAGTATTTGTTTGTTTAAATCAGGATATCACAATAATTAACCCTGAAAAAGCCAAAGCAAACTCTACCAGTTTTTATGGTGTAAATTCTGCACAACAAAATACAAAAGAGAGAGACTGACTTAGAATGTCACTTACCTGTTCTGTAATGATTTGTTCAGCTGTAGTTTTAAACTTGCGTTGAGAAAGCGCTGAGTTTTTCTCCCTTTTAGGACTTATTATGTGGTCTCTGTCGCCATCTTTTGGTGGAATGTCAACCGTCACTTTCTTTGATCTGCTCAGACAGGCTGATAGTGGCCATTGCACTGAACCTGCGAAAGTATTTTAAAATAGGCACTATCCTTATAAAAAAACTGCATTGTTGCAATTTAAGCCACTATATTCGTGCCTTAAAAAAGCCTCAAAAATGCATTATGTTGTCCAACAACTGCAATATTTGTCAAACTCTGCTTGTCGCTGTATGTGGGGGCAAAGTAATACACAAGTGTAAAAAGGCTGTACGAGTGTTGTTTTTGCAGAATATTACATGGCTATCAAATCAGCCAATCAGATTGAAGAACCAGACAGAACTGTGTGTGTGTGTGTGTGTGTGTGTGTGTGTGTGTGTGTGTATATATATATATATTCATACCGTAAATGTATAAATGTGTGTGAATGAGGGAGTGTATGCGTGTTTCCCGAGGAGTTTACTAATTAGTGTAGTGAGATAACATATGTCAGAGTAATTGAAAGTTCATTCTGCTGTGGCGACTCCTGATAAATCAGGGATTAAGCCAAAAGAGGAGTGATTTTACAACATGTAAGATGTAGGGAAAAGGCACCAAAAAAGCATAAATGTTTTTCTCTTTGCTGCAACCAGGCAATTTGAATATCAGCTCGTGTAGATTTTCATATTCCAAATATAGTTTTCAAATGTGCAATATGTCTTATAAGTTGATATCAGGTTTTATTTATGATAAACAATTCTTTACTAATGTGATACAACTGGCAGCGTTATATATGTTTCTCTCTCTCTATGCAGGATTTTGTTGGGGGACTGGGGAAGTGAAGACCACATGATAAGGATGGGACTCCTGAAAGTGCTGAAAACTCAGTTGCTGTGCCATCTCATCATCTGTTATGTGTTTCTGGTCAGTGGAATCATCATCAACCTGCTGCAGCTTTGTACTCTACCTCTGTGGCCCATTAACAAGCAGCTCGCACGCAAGATCAACTGCAGACTGGGTTACTCCATCGCTAGTCGTAAGTCCTGCAAAATGTTCTTTTGTTTGTTTAACTTGATGTACTTTATCATTTTAAAAGACAAGTTAATAGTGATATACAGGGCTTGACTTTAACACCTGTCGGACTACCAAATGCGGATAGATTTCAGCGGTGGCAGGTTAGACAGACACCCCCACAGAAGCATCCGTGCCTGGAAACGTAACTGGTGCAATCGCTTCTGTTTTAAATACACTGGACAAAAACATACTCTTGTGTACCCACAGTCTTGCTGCTCTCTGGAGCTCCAGATGTTTCAAAGGTGTTTTGGTAAGCACCAGGATGCTTTAACCTTTTATGTGATCATCCTTTCATTATCCCACGTTATGATTTTCAGCTACTTTCTTTCGCTTGCAGTTATTTTGGGCTAATAATTATTTATTTTTACAATTTATTTTATTTGGTAAATCTTTATTGTTGAGCCCTGAAAAGTCCTGTGGAATAAAAACTATTAGTAATGCAACACTATGAAACCACAACCAATTTGCTCTTGCTCATAGAGCAAGCTCATACACAACACATAAAATATTAAATGAATGAGGAGGCATGTGGACATAACACAACATCTAAATCAAGTCATTTTAGCATGCCGCAATCAAATTTCATGCATATAAATATGTTTTCCCAACAACAAAATCGTGGCTAGTGAAAATGGCGAGTGGGCCAGTTGGCATTTCTGTGTGGAGTTTGCATGTTATCTCCGTGTTGGCGTGGGTTTCTCCCGGGTGGCCCAGTTTCCCCCAACAATCCAAAGACATGCGCTGTAGGTGAATTGAATAAACTAAATTTAACCCCTGATAAATATAGAACTAAGCTGGAGGAAAATAAATGAATGAATGGACCACAAAAAAAGTCATAACAAGTGTCAATATTTTGGATTTGAGAATTATACATCATCTTTGGTTTGTTAGGATGGGACAATAATTTTTATGAATAGCTTTTGGACATTATTTGGCTGAGATAAGCTATTTGAAAATCTGAAATCTAAGGGTTCAACAAAGACCTTTCAAATTGTCCAATAGAAGGTCTTAGCACTTTTCAGCACATTACTAATCAAAAATTTACTTTTCTGATATATTTACGGAAAGTTACAAAATATATGAATGAAAATTGATCTTTAGTTAATTTTTTATTTTTATTTTTTTAAGTCTTGAAAAGTAGAAAAGTCTATCATGTTTAACCCATTCAATGTATTTTAGCTATTTCCTATAACATAGCCATGCAAAAAGACAATTTTGTGGTCACCTATTTTAAAAAATGGCCAAAAAGAGCAGCCAAATTGCCAAACTTATCATGAAAAATCTACAATGGTTTATATAAACCACAATAGTACATTCATGGCAAAAAAATTAAAACCGCATGTGAAAATTTTCAGGTTTTTTTTTTGTAATTACTGGATTTATTAGGTATGGGTTTGAGCAATAACTGTTTCTCAATTATACTATAATTAAAACTTGCGCCAATCAATAAAAATTGCAATTAGTCATAGAGATCATTAACCTCATATCTGGACCAATAAAGACAGATTATATTGATAGTGAGTTGTATTGTTCAGTGAAGCAGATTGATGCAAACCACCTCTGACATCATTATTTCCTGTTTGAAAACCTCAGCATTGCACCAAGTGTAAAAAAACAGGAAGTTGACATTTTTTAAATCTCTTTTATTTATGTACATATAAGAACAAATGGTTGTACTACTTAACATTTATGAATATGTAAATATTTTCTGCAATTATATTCTAATCTTTATTTCCCCCTGTGTTTGTTCAGAACTGGTGGCATTGTTGGAGTGGTGGTCTGGGACCGAATGCACACTTTACACAGATCCAGAAAGCTTTCGTCTATACGGCAAAGAAAATGCCATCGTTGTCCTCAATCATAACTTTGAGATTGATTTTATGACCGGTTGGACCTTTTGTGAGAGATTTGGTGTTCTAGGGGTAAGATAAAAAAAAAAGTACAATTAACACTGCAACAAATCCCTGATTGTAAATAAAAATGCCAATTAAAAAAAAGTAATGGAATTAAAGGGATAGTTCTCTGACTGGTTTGGAGCAAGTGGAGGGTGAATAACCTGTAACACTAGGGTAAACTAAAACTCTTTTAATGTCACATAATTGTTTTTGTCATGTTTTGATTTAAGAGCTCGAAGGTGTTGGCGAAAAAGGAACTGTCCTTTGTTCCTGTGATTGGCTGGATGTGGTATTTCCTGGAGATTGTCTTCTGCAAAAGGAAATGGGAAGAGGATCGCAAGACAGTCGTGCAGAGTCTGCGCAACCTTCAAGATTACCCAGAATTCTTTTGGGTACGTTTGTCATCTTGATTTTTTTCCTCATGTTTTAAAAGCCTAAAGGCATTTTTCACCTCCCCCCTCCCCAAAACAAACATAAATAAATAAATAAGTTTATAAGCATTAAATACATCACCATTTTATTCAGAAAACTTTTATTTATTTAATTATAATGGTGCCGTTGCCTTAAAAAAATTTTTACCAGATGTTGGTAACAACTAAACAAATCCATAATTGCAAAGAACATAACTAATTGGATTACAGATTAAGTTATGTGTATTAAAATGAAATGACATCAGGAAAAAAGTATTGAACACATGAAGAAAGGGAGGTGTAGAAAGGCCCGACAGCAGCTGAAATCTCGTAGTAGTTATACAGCAACCCTCTGCCCTTCAACATTGTAAATTAATATTAGCTGCTTCAGTCCAACATCTACATTAGCAGGAGGATGAAGGTGAAACCAGAGTGGACATTTCAGCAAGACAATGATCCAAAACACAGCCAAGGAAACTCTCAAATGCTTTCAGAGAAAGAAAATCAAGCTGTAGAATGGCCTAGCCAATCACCTGACTTGAATCCAATAGAGAATACAAAATAAAGCTCAGATTTGATAGATGAGACCCACAGAACCATAAAGATTTTTACAGTCTGTTGAAGTCTTCATTCAACATATGAGAGGCGTCTTTAAGCTTCTTATTGATGTGTTAAATACTTGTTTCCCCCATCAGGTTGTTCCAAACTATTATAAGCTTCTTATGTTAAACACAAAAGAGGAAGTTTTGAAAAATGTTGGAAACCTGTAGCCATTGACTTACATGGCAGACAAAAAAAATACTATGTAAGCCAATGGTCACCAGTTTCAATATTGAAAAAAACAGTTGTTGACAGTTTTTTTATTCTTGGGTGAACTATTTCAATGAATAGCTTCCTGAATAACCAGATATACAAAATTCATTCAAGATTATATCCCAAACCTCATTTGTTGTTATTTATTGATTGGGAAACAAACAGAGAGTTCTTGCAAAAGATTCAAAGTCATTACAGTCAGTGCTCCAAAAAGCAACATGATGGTAGTCTGCTTGACATTCAAGTCATTATTAAGTCGTTTCACATAACTTTCATTGGTCATGTTTTATGATTCATGTGCAGTTCCTTTTGCACTGTGAGGGCACACGATTCACGGAAAAGAAGCACAAGATCAGCATGGAGGTGGCAGAGAAGAAAGGTCTCCCCAAACTCAAGTACCACCTTCTACCTCGAACTAAGGGCTTTTGTGTTACGGTCCAGAACCTCAGGGGAAAGGGTGAGAGCTTCTTTAAGTAATGATGAGCCTGACAGTGCTATTAGCGGAGGCAAATCATTTTAAAATGAACAACCTACTTTTTTTTGGAAAAGGCTCATTGTACATTTTACCAGTTTTTTTTTATCAATTTAGCAGATCTCCGGGTCTAGCTGGAGCACTTTTAGCTTAGCTTAGCTTAGCATAGATCATTGAATCGGATTAGACCAGTAGCATGTTCCTCAAAAAAAAAAAGTCTTAATAATTTTCCTATTTTATATTTGATACTTCTGCAGTTATATTGTATACTAATTGTATACTATTTTTTAGTTCAATATAGCTTGGAACTATACTCTCATTTTGGCGTAATATACTAATATACAGTAACTTATGTAATATGTAATAATAACTGCTGCTATATCACAGTTGCAGCACTGATATTACTCCGCACTTGAAAATAGTCCCCGGCTAGGTATCTACAGTGCATCCGGAAAGTATTTATAGCATTTCGCTTTTCCCACATTTTTTTATGCTACAGCCTTATTCCAAAATTGATTAAATTCATTTATTTCCTTAAAACTCTACGCACAATAGCCCATAATGATATTTATATTGTTGCAAATTTATAAAAAAAAAATTAAAAAGCTGAAAATCACATGTACATCAGTATTCACGGACTTTGCTCAATACTTTGTTGATTCACCTTTAGCACAATTACAGCCTCAAGTTTTTTTTAATCTGATGCCACAAGCTTGGCACACCTGTCTTTGGGAATTTTTGCACATTCCTCTTTGCTGTACCTCTCAAGCTCTATCAGGTTGGACAGGAAGCAACGGTGTACAGCTATTTTCAGATCTCTCCAGATATGATCAATAGGATTTAGGTCTGGGCTCTGGCTGGGCCACTCAGACAATCACAGAGTTATTGTAGTCATTGTCCTGCTGGAAGATAAACAGTCACCCCAGTCTGCGGTCAAGAGCACTCTGAAGTGAGTTTTCATTCAGGATGTCTCTGTACATTGCTGCATTCATCTTTCCCTCTATCCCAAGGGTCACCAATCTCGGTCCTGGAGGGCCGGTGTCCCTGCCGGGTTTAGCTCCAACTTGCCTCAACACACCTGCCTGAATGATTTAAGTATACCTAGTAAGACCTGATTAGCTTGTTCAGGTGTGTTTGATTAGGGTTGGAGGTAAAATCTGCAGGACACCGCCCCTCCAGGAACAAGTTTGGTGACCCCTGCTCTATCCTGACTAGTCTTCCAGTTCCTGCTGCTGAAAAACATCCCCACAGTATGATGCTGCCACCACCATGCTTCACTGTAAGGATGGTATTAACCTGGTGATGAGCGGTGACTGGTTTCCCCAAACATAACGCCTGGCATTCACTCCAATAAATTAAATTTTACTCTCATCAGACCAGAGAATTTTCTTTCTTATGGTCTGAGAGTCCTTCAAATGCCTTTTGGCAAATTCCAGGTGGGGAGTGGCTTCCGTCTGGCTCTTCTACCATACAGGTCTGATTGGTGGATTATTGCATGGTTGTCCTTTTTTTAGGTTCTTCCCTCTCCACAGAAGTACGCTGGTGCTTAGACAGTGACCATCGGGTTATTGATCACCTCCCTGACAAAGGTCCTCCCCCGATCACTCAGTTTAGATGGCCGGCCAGCTCTAGGAAGAGTCCTGGTGGTTCCAAACATCTTCCATTTACAGATGATGAAGGCCACTGTGCTCATTATAACTTTCAGAGCAGCAGACATTTTTCTGTTACCTTCCCCAGCCTTGTGCCTCAAGACAATCCTGTCTCGGAGGTCTACAGATAATTCCTTTGTCCTCATGCTTGGTTTGTGCTTTGACATGCACTGTCAACCCTGGAATCTTATATAGACAGGTGCATGCCTTTTCAAATCAAGTCCAATCATTTGATTTATCACAGGTGAACTCCAACTATGTGTAATATCAGTTCCAAGATGCTACTGGTTTAATAAAATTCAGTGCTGTTAATTACATTTTATGCTAAGCTAAGCTAAAAGTGCTTCTGCCAGACACAGAGATCATCTTTATGGGTTAAAAAATGGTAAAACTCAACTGTTTAACTCTAGGGGACTTTAATAGTGAGCTTATTTCCAAAAAGTGGATTTGTTCCTTTAATGTTGTTTTCAAAGGAAATACTTGAAATTGAAGGTGCCTTTTTGGCAATAGTAGCCTATGAGGATTTGGTTTGCTGACTTGGTTTGTGTCTCCTCTGTAGTTACTGCTGTGTACGATTCTACGCTTAATTTCAGAAACAACGAAATGCCAACTTTACTAGGGGTGCTCAATGGAAAAAAGTACCACGCGGATTTATATGTGAGGTAAGAATGAAGGGAAAATGATTTCGCAATGCCCTTCGGAAATATTTAACAGCAATATGTTGTGTGATCATGTGTCGTGCTGTAACAAAGTTCAAAATGCAGTCTCCACAATCATTTATAAATGTTTGCATCACTTAGTTATGACGTCTTATACGAGTGTGTTGTGAGACTTTAGGACTTTTATATGAACAAGATAAATGTGTTTGGATTTGCTTCTGTGTCTAGGCGGATTCCTCTGGACTCCATCCCAGAGGATGAGTCAGAATGTGCGGCCTGGCTACACAAACTCTACCAGGAGAAAGTAAGTGACAGAACTAAAGGAGGGATTTTACTGCTCAGTGTTTTAACATTATGTATAAAGTATTCTAGAGTGTATTTTGATTTAGCCTTGATTTTTAGATTTTATTAGTTTAATATGCTTTTGTTCATTTATTAGTTAATCAAATTTATGTGACTTGCACTCATCAGCCATTTTGATAGGTAAAACCTGTTCAACTGCTTTTTAATGCAAATATCAAATCAGCCAATCGCATGCTTCAGTGAGCAAGTGAAGGGTTAAGGACTGTTATTTTAGGGATTTTAAATGCCTGATTTTAGTACAATTCTTATGCCTAAGGGCAGTGGAGAAAAACTAAACTGGTTTGAACTGATAGACAGAAACTTAAATTACCACTTGTGAACACCCATAGATATTTAGACTAGATGTTGCCTACGCTATTGTCTATTGGAAGGAATGCGTCAGTGGAGCTGCCATTTTGGTACAGGGTAGCGCTTCTTTGAAATAAATATTGGACTAAAATGCAGTGGCAGATTAGCTATCTTGAGCCATTGATATATACACATATCAACGTATATCTTTGATCGGGAGTTTTCCCTATGTTCAGTATGCAAATATTTTTTTAAATTACAAAAATTATAATTTTACATCACTTTCTTACATGTATGTGTTTGTATTTTTCTCCCTCCCTGTTAAGTGAAGTTTATTTATAAACTAATTTCGAGAGAAGCACGTGCTTATGATTGATAGCACCTGATCCACATTAGCTAACACTGATTTACCAATCAGACGACTCCTTAAGCACTATAAATAACCAGAGGATCTTACTTCAGTCATCTTCATCTTTAAGAATCCCCCCTTCCACCCCTACTCCTCCCAATTCCTTGTCAGGGCAGCACGGAGGCCTAGTGGTTAGCACCACAGCCGCACAGCAAGAATGTCACCGGCTCGGACACTTCCTGGCCAGGTCAGCGTTTCTGTGCGGAGTTTGCATGTTCTTCTCGTGTTTGCGTGGGTTTTCACCGAGCTCTCTGGTTTCCTTCCACAGAACAAAAACATGTAACATAAGTAAATTGACAAATCTAAATTGAAAGCATAGACACATCATAGCATTATAATCTACTTCCAACATTATCAAGCAGGGGAGTTTTCGAGACCTTCCTGAACTCGGACTCCCTTCTCGCCCTACAACGGGGGGGAGCCCTGGGCTCGATGATCTCACGAGTTCAGGGCTCTCTCCCGGGGGACAGCATGCCAAACAAGTTCCATAATTAAATTCTTGAAATTTGATCTAATCCATGTCCTGAAGCACACCCCCTTACACTTCTAATTCTAGCGGAGTGATTCGTTTGTGAATGAATCTCCATTATGAATATATTCCTGCGTCTTAATGCACATATCCACCTTTCTGATGTAAATGGTTTATACAGTTTTTAATATTCAATCATTTAGGGTGGAAAGTATGCACACTGAGGAGCAGGCACTGTTATGTCGGCATCCTTATTTAAAAACTTTCACTTGGCCTACCATAATACAAGTTTCTCACATCAGCGAGTCTTATTTCATTTACATTTTTGCTTATTTTATTCAACCAATTTAGCATAAGCCTACAATATAGTGCAAAGTTGTGCTACTTTGCCTTCTGGTAAGTGCAGTAAGTGACTGTATTATATTATTATGTATAACTTGACTTGTTGAGCAGAAAAGTTTGTAACATACAAAATTGTAAAAAATGAAATCTTACCATTGAAATGAGTGCTTTGTTTGTTGTCTTTGTTTGCTCGTTTCTACAACTGTACGCAGTGTAAAAGTCCAGCATCTTCAGATTGGCTTTGGTCTTGACTAAGTACAGTTTAATGACTTTTGTCCAGGGAGCACTGTACAAATATCTCAGCGGTATTGACTACCACTCAGGGCCTGTTTGCGATATCTAATATATATATATATACATATCTATGATGAACACCAAGGTATGCAGAAGAAAAAAACACATCTGTGATTGCACAACATAGTCAAAACCTGAAGCAGATGGGCTACAGCAGCAGAAGAACCAACCTGGTCAAAACAAGTGTAAGAAGACTCATAAGTCACAAAAACCAAATCACAAACTATGCTAAATGGCTGTTGCTAGCGATCTGCCTTGGAAAGAAAACATCAGCTTTTAATATGTCATCCCCTTAATCATTTAAATGTCACTTTAAGCTGTATAGAAGTGTCTTGACAAATATCTAGTAAAATATTATTTACTGTCATCATGGCAAAGATAAAATAAATCAGTAATTAGAAATGACTTATTAAAGCTATTATGTTTAGAAATGTGTTGAAAAAATCTTCTTTCGGTTAAATAGAAATTGGGGGAAAAATAAACAGAGGGGCTAATAATTCTGACTTCAACTGTATTTCAAAATTTACAAAAATAGCCCAAAACTATATTTATAAAAATACATATTTGATAAATTCACATGTTGCCATTTTTTAAATGTGTTTATATACTGTATGTTTGTACTTAAAATATATTTGCTTAATTATTTTCTAAGAAAATACCTAACTTGTAACATTGTCTAAAACTTTAAAAGCAAGGAACATACTTTTTTTAAATACATTTTTGTCTTAGCCTCCATTTAAAACCCTTTGTTTACATATGGCAATAAAACATTGCACTCTTCAATAATTCTACAAATAAATCTCAAAGACTCCTTCACATTAGCCAACCAGTTTGTGCATAGTTAGTAATCATGCTGATATCATCCATAGCAAGTTAATCTCAGCAGTGTATTATATTCAATTTGTGTACAGATAGTCAGAATTATTAGCCCCCCCCCCCCCCCCCCTGTTTATTTTTTCCCCAATTTCTGTTTAACCGAAAAAAGACTTTTTCAACACTACCCCCCCTTAAATTTTTTAATAGTTTTTAATTTTTTAAAAAACATTTTAAGGACAAAATTATAGCCCCTTTAAGCTATTTTTATCGATAGTCTACAGAACAAACCCTTGTTGTACAATAACTTGCCTAATTACCCTAACCTGTCTAGTAAACATAATTAAGCTAGTTAAGCCTTTAAATGTCACTTTAAGCTATATAGAAGTGTCTTGACAAATATCTAGTAAAATATTATTTACTGTCATCATGGCAAAGATAAAATCAATCAGTTATTAGAAATGACTTATTAAAGCTATTATGTTTAGAAATGTGTTGATTAAAATCTCTCTGTTACACATAAATAGGGGGAAAATAAACAGGGGTGCTAATAATTCAGGGGGCTAATAATTCTGGCTTCAACTCTAGTTATTTTAGTTATTTAGGATTTTTGATTGGTATTAATTTGTCATTAGGGTACAACTACTTGATTACTAAAGCAATTGCCCATAAATTACCCAATTAGTGAGATTCAAAGGTAATCAAGGTTGAACATTTTTTTCCCATCTCACCCAGGATGAATTCCAAGAGCATTACAGACAGACGGGTCGCTTTCCGGGTCCCATCACGAACCCTCCGCGTCGACTCTGGGCACTGGTAAACTGGCTGTTCTGGGTGTGTGTGCTGGTGTATCCCATCTGCGTGTTACTGCTGCAACTGCTGCTGTCAGGATCCACCTTCACCATCGTCTGCACTTTTGTCTTCTGTCTAGCAGGTATTTAGGATCAGGACAAGGGCCAGGGGTGTTTTTGTTCGTATGAATTAAAAAAAAAAAAACACTCCACTTGTTTTGGAAATAAGCTCATTTTGCAAGTTACCTAGAGTTAAACAATTATATTTTACCACTTTTGATTCCATTCAGCTGATCTCTGGATCTGGCAGGAGCACTTTTAGCTTAGCGTAAAGCATTGAATCGGATTAAACCATTAGCACCAATTTCTAAAGAGTTTTGGTAATTTTTCTATTTAAAGCGTAACGCCCCATTCACACGGGGGTTCAGCGTTAAAGCTTGACTGAAAGCGTGTCTGAAGTTGGGGCTGAAGCGATCGTCATAGAAGCGTCAGTCAATGAAATTCAGTCAGCATTAGGCCACTGTCTAGCTGGTGTATTTGCATACAGCGATCTGATTGGCTGACGCTTCCGTCGGCGCTTGTCAAGTTGAGCTACTCCCAACTTCTGCAGCAAGCAACGCCTCTGAAGCGGCGCCGACGGATCCACAATGCAGTTCGGCAATGCCTGACGTCACCCATTCAAAGTGAATAGGAAGCGTTGACGCCGACGCCCCGTATGAATGGGGCGTTACTCTTCTGTAGTTACATCGTGTGCTAAGACTGATTATCAAAACAGTATTACTTTTGCATAAGATGCTAATGGTCTAATCTGATTCAATGATTTATGCTAAGCTAAGCAAAAAGTGCTCCCACCAGACCCGTAAATTGGCTAAATCTATTTTAAAAAATGATAAAATTCAAGTGTTTAACTCTAGAGGAGTTGAAAAATTAGCTTTCAAAACAAATAAGTGTAATGTTCCTTTAAATAAAGCTGGCGTAACAGATTGTTATGATTGCAGCAGATCATCTTTTGTGGTGGAGTAAATATGGAATTACATGCTGCTGCTATTTTTCTCCAATCTGTTTTTTTCCTCTTTGAAAATGTAAATATAAAGGAGGCCAATTATGTGCTATAGCAGTAAGTACATCACTCACTTTTTATATGGATTTACTGCATGCTAGTCACTTCAAGAGCGCATGGAGAAATGATTTTAATGCATTTCAAGTGCATTTAAAGCATGAGAGAACCGTTTTTTAAGATTCATTTGAGCTGTAAAAGTTTCATCTAAACACTGAATGCACACACAAACTAATCTTGAACTACATGATTCAGCGCTGCTATGAGAAATCATGTATGATAGACATTCTGTTTATATGAAGCTTTCATTTCAGCCTCTTTCATTTCTACGGGGTTGCCACACCTGAATTTCCATGACTTGTGATTACTTGGGGAAAGTGGATGGTTGAGCGTAACTAGCGTAAAATCGATCTACATTAGCAGATTTGGAAATCACAATTCCATGAAAAATCTGGGTTTTCCATGTTCGTGGGAACACTGTTAGTGTTTTGACCAAAATGAATGCAGTGGTTCTCAGCCTTTTTTTATTCAAACACCCATTGTGTAAACTAGATGTTCTTTAATCAAAGCAAGTTATTAAAGAGGAAAAGGAGAAATTATTTTAGGTTACAATTATGGTAAACTATTGGATCCGTTTAACACTTATAAGTCTTGTCATCATTATTATATAACTAGATTGACTTCATTTAATTTCACTTTGACATTTTAGAGCAAATGCGAATGATATATATTTTTTGCAACAGATATTCATAGTTAATAAATTGATTTGTTGTATCAGCCTTTTTTCACTAATCAGCCGAGAGTTTGAAATGAATTCAGAATGATCTAATACATATTGCTGATGATACTTTAGAGCAGTGTTTCCCAACCCTGTTCCTGGAGCCACACCAGCAGTATATATCATGAATGTCTTCCTTATCTGACCCATCTTTGTTGCGGGTTACAGGCTTTACACTTTCATGTAGCAAGAGTATTTAGCAATTTATTAAGTTTTGCATTTAGAGCGGATTTTCTTTATTATGGTAGCCGAGGCCTTTTCAAGTTTCTTAATCGGCGTAAGGAATAACTGGCTGTTTAAATTAATTTTGCATCGAAAAAGCTGTTATCGGTAAAGGTAGCTGCAACTTTTGCGAAGCATCAAATCACGACATATTAGCTGTCAAAATATGCATGACTGCATAAATTATTATTCCTTTAAAAAAAATAAAATAAAAAAAGTCAAGTATTGTGGGTTTTTATTATCATAAAGTAAAATAGTAAGCGTTTGCATATAAAAAGTATATATTAATAAATGTTCTCTTTAAAACCCTTGGGGAGCCCCGCGACAGTCTTTGTATTTTTATTTGGAGTGCAGATTGCACAACAGTTTTATTTATATAATTTTTTATAAAGTTTATTTAAAAAAAAAATAATACAAAATAATAATAATAATATATATATATGAAGAGTTCAGATGCAAAAGCCGCTAAACGCCAGTTCCGCCAAAATGAGAAAGTAATTGAGTGAATCCTTTAGGCACTTAGTACATGTTCAACAAATATTTTTGCTTCTAATCATCTAAACCCCAGCATCAGCGCATTCAGAAATAACAGTTTGTATGCAAAAGCCGCTAAACGCCACTTGCCTTTGACAGCAAAATCCCGAGAACCAATCAGAAGCGTGAGTCGAATTATATGTTTTCAATGTAGCAGTGCACTGGTTCACCGGCTTTATGAGGAGACTGTTTTATTCCGCTTTCGATTTTTAAAGACGGAGTTTGATTAAATGGGTGAGACTGTCCGACTGTCAGTAAATGGCAATTGAAAACGTCTCTTAACTCTAAACTCTAAACTGCATTATAAGAAAAAGAAAACACACTGTGGTCAGAAGTGTAAGATGCATTCATAACGTGTTTTTGCACAGCGATGCTGCTTTGAATGAGTCCGATATACTACACCTTAAATGGTATCTGCGTTTCACGAAAGACAAAGTTAAGATGTTGTTCTTTTATCCCACGTGGATGCTATGAGGATAAACAAGAAACCAAGACATTAAGTATGGTGAGAATGAATGACAGACAGCTTCTATAATTGTCTGAGAGGCATCCCCTTTTGCCCAGTAGGTCCACCTTGTGTTTTAGCACTTAGTTTAAGGAATTTTTTGAAAAGATAAAAATAATGCATAAAACTCTTCTTCATAACACCTATAGATCTGATAAGCTTTTATATTAATGGACAATGCACAGATATTGATGTTTCATAATGTTTTACACTACATTATTTGAATCTAACAAGCTTAGCTTACTATGTTTACATTGTTCTACTTACATTAAATCTAAATCCCAAATATCAGAAATAACAACAGATTGTTAAGATTTAATATTTGTCCGTTTTAATGTTAATGATTAATGCATTTACTTGACAGATTTCATTCATTCATTTTCCTTCTGCTTTTCCCTGGTTTTCCACAGCGGAATGAACCGCCACTTACTTGACAGATTTATGTATTTTTAATTTTAGGTGGTTTGTGTAATGTGTTTATTTTTGGTAAAATAATTTCTAATTGCATCTTTACTGATTTTCAAGTTATTATAATGTCTTGTCCCAATAGGCGGATATAGAGGTTTAAATTCACTCAAGTGAATTTAGCTGGTTTTGACGCAAAAGAAAATCTACCTTCTTAAAACAAAGAATTTTCTTAAGTGACATTTTTTTAAAGAAATGTGCTTTATTTACTAGCTAATAATCTTACCATTAAAATGCTCATTTACAAGAAAGGAGGTCTGATGGATTTAGAGGGTTTTGCATCTGAACTCATAATATAAATAAATGTTTTTTTTTTGTTTTTTTTTTTTAACTATTTACTATTTTACCAAATGCATATACTACTTTACTGTAGGAAAATATCAGCATTTGGTACATACTTTCAATATTACCTTTACTTGAAAAGACCTGACCTAATCCTGTTTATATGAAATAAACCTGCTCCAGAGCAGGTCTGAGCTACCAGAATCGTTGCTTTGATAACAACTCTTGGATGAGTTTTGAACAAATCAAATCCAGATAATTAAGTAATCCATGTATGAAGAACAGACATGTGGTTTTTGACCTCTTCGAATGTTCTGATGAGTTGATTCAGGTGTGTTTGAGTAGGGAGAGGTTGAAAATGTGTAGTTGGTGTGCCTTCAGGAACAGGGTTGGGAAGCACTGTTTTAGGGTATGCTGAAGTGCCCATTTTTGTGACCGTTTCCAACTAAAAATGGGAAACTTTTACACAGATGTTTTGTTGTATTTTTTGCACCTGAATATGCAGGTATTTGAAAACAGACTTTAAAATACAGCTTTAAAATTAAGTAATTTTTATGTCAGTGTAAACTACCAATGGTAGCATTGTTTATGTGTATTTGTTGTTCAGTCTGAAATGACAGTACAGCGTTTTGAGCTATTTTCAGTGATGTGAAAATGAGGATCATTTTGGACAACATTGTCATATCTATGCAAATAATACGAAGATAAATCCATTTTAATTCAAATGTTGTCCTATAAATGTGACTGTTTGCATCTTTGTGCTGCCTACTATTTTAATTTAGAGTTCTGTATATACAGTATACTGACACCATTTTGGTTGAGAACCGCTAATCTGATGAATGATATTACGAAACTGACTGCTTGAAACTTTGGTTTAGTTAAGAAGCATGCTAATGTGACTAGCGGTTGTGCTAAAGCCCTGACAAATCCATTTGTTTTTTCTAGTGTCAGCTGGGGTGCGCTGGATGATTGGACAGACCGAGATCGACAAGGGTTCGAACTATGGGGTTAAAGATGTGCAGATGAACAACAACTGAGAGACTGTGACCAACCAGCGCAACACGATCACATTATACTGTACTGGGGGCATTCGGACAACCAAACCACCTTTATAGTGAATTGAAGAACTCGGCACTACAGAAAGAATCATTTAAAATGGTTCAAGTTTAAGCTTTTTTTTTTTTTTTTTGCTGAAAAAAACAAATAGGCCATCATTTAAAAAAACGGTCTGTTTATTAATATTCTTTTTTTTAAATATTGCAAACACTGTTGGAGGAGCAGAGAACCAGCAGTTGATGCCTGCGCAGGAGCAATGTTTGTCCACCTGTTCGAGTGCAGCAGCAGCAGAAAGGCGGAGTCAGACTGGCCTCTTCCCTCTCATTGGTTGATTATGCTCTTGAACACCAGGATAAAGGCACGCCATCGGCCAGCGTGAGGCTGAGCCGACGCAGCACAACTACTTATAGGCTGAAATATGACTTGTTAACAGTGGGCTCTGCAGCAAGGCAAAACAAAAATACCATTTTAACAAAAAAAGAAAATTAAAAACCTTCTCAGTCCCAGGTTTGTACGCTTTCTTCAATGAACACTCAGTCAAAAGGCAAACTCTGTCTCCCATTTTCTGAAGCTTTGAACGTCTCTTGAATTAATGTAATCAATTCTGAATGCATGTTTCCCTGTGACTCGATCACCAACAGAGTGGCTCATCAACTTTAGCTTTACAATATGCTTTGTACAAAGAAAACCCCCTAACCCTATTCTTACAGTATGTACATGACGCACTCGTCTGGATGACATTTCTGTCCCGTGTTGCTGTACATGTAAGACTTGCCCTGCTTTAACGTTACAGAGGGGCTCGTGTCGAGCAGAGCGCGTCTGTTTCTTCCTTCGTCCTCCCTCATGTCGTGTGAAGTAGTGCTAGCATTTTTGTAAACGTTAAGAGAATACGTGTCCTCCTCGTCACTCTTCATCTGTGCAGACCTGCAGGTACAACAAACACATGAGATTGATGTATTAGTGTTCGTTTCCATTGACCCTATTCAAGATGCCAGTAAGGTGACAGCATGTGATGGGTTTTGTCTACCTCACTTCTTATTAGTAGTTAGCGATGCACCGCAATTCTTTCTTTTTTTTTTTTTACCTTAACCTGAAACTAAATGAATCTCTTAGAGTTGAAAGGATAGTTCACCCAAAACTGAAAATTCCATCATTTACTCATCCTTTACTTGTTTCAAACGTTTGAACACAGAAGAAGATATTTTGCAGAATGTTGGACAATGGTAACTTCCATAGTATTAGTTTTTTCTAGTGTGCAAGTCGTGGTTTCAGGTTTTCAGCACTCCAAAATATCATAGTTTGTAGAAGAAACATCACTTAAAGGATTAGAACCACTTGATGGTGAGAAAACCTTTAACCATTGACTTACATAGTAGGAAAAACAAATACTATGGAAGTTAGTGGTTACAAACTTTCAGCTTTCTTCAAAATGTCTTAGTTTGTAGAAGAAACAACACAAACGATTGAAACTACTTGATGGTTTGAAAACCTGTAACCATTGACTTCCATGATATTTGATTTCCCTACTAAGTCCGTTACAGACTTTCAGGTTTCTTTAAAATATCTTTGTTTGTAGAAGAAACAACACTCACTCGCTCACTTGATGGTGAGTAAAATTTCAATATTTAGTGAACCATCCCTTTAATTCACAAGCAGGTTTATGTGCGAAAAACAATCACAATCAATAGTACTAATGAACACTAATGGATATTTACATAGAAATTATTTTAATAAATTGCATAATTGAAATAAAAAAAATATATATAAAAAAAAAATCACAATTGTCCTTTTGATATTATTAAATCGAACAAAAATGAAACAATAAAAAAAAATTAATTCAGAGGTTGCCTATAATGAAGTTTTAATGGAACTTTAAATTAGGGTTGTCACGATACTGGAATTCCGAATATTAAAACTGAAATTTTAAAAACGTTCATTTCCTGCTAACATTTGAGCTCTGTTGAACATTCCTAAACAGCGCTGATTTGCCATTGTATTCATGTGCTCAACAGAAATTACTGTAATTCGTTGTGAAGGTCATCAGTTCACTGAACTCACCGCTGTTTACTGAGTGTAACCACAGACACAGGGACACTGGAGTGTTTCAAAGTCACGTCGATCAGCTGGTTTGTCTATAAGCGGACATACAAGTGATCCACTGATGAATCACGGCTTTAAAACGCTTCCGTGTCCCTGCATCTGTGGTTACACTCAGTAAACAGCAGTGAGTTCAGTGAACTGATGAGATTCACGGCCAATCACAGTCATTTCTGTTGAGCACCCAATGGCAAATCAGCGATGTTCACTAACAGCACTCACAACAGCGCTCAAATGTTAGCGGGAAATTGACGTTTTTAAAATTTCAGTATCAATTGGTATCGAATTAAAGTATCCTGCAACACTACTTTGAATACAAACTAAACCAGATTCATTTCTAAAAATCTATGAAAAATACAGAAACCAAAAGAGGAAAAGAAGGGAATGAAGAACAAATCAAACAATGCTGTTTTTTTTTTAAATCAGCTGGTGAAAATGATATTTTGCTAAACCAAAAAATATAAAATGAATAATATTATAAGTATTTCAATTACCCGAGAGTTTCCGCATAAACCTTTAAATCATATGCTTGTTTTTAGTTTAGTTTGTTGAAAGCTAAACATTGAAATGATGGCTATATATGGTAAAAGATAATAATTTATTCTTATTTATTATAACAGAATTCACAGCTTAAGGTTATTGCACACCGAATCCCAAATTTTCATTTGTAATTTTTGTACGTTAAAAACCAAATTCGATGTCGTATTGACACACTGCCTCCAAAACTTTCGTCAGTCCTGAAACATTTAAAAAAAAAAAAAAAAAAAAAAACGGGTTCAATTTTTTCTGCTTTTCGCATCTGAAAAAGCTCTTTCGGTCTGTTGCTTCGACATGTCAACGCAGCCTCCATCTATTATAATGTCCATAGGTACTATAAGGATTTGTTTACGTACATAAATGTGTGAAGTATTACAAGCAATGTATCAAAATTGCACTGATTTCCAGATATAAACTTTGCATTTGGGGATAATCTAGCGCAGCTCTTTGATGAGGAGGAGGAGGACTCTCCTTCCTCTCTATCAGCATTGAATGAACACAGCATGTAGCCTATTCCCTGTTCTTCTTTCTTTTTCTACCTTGGAGAACAGAGGAAAACAAAACATCACTACTTAAACTGACTACGAAATGTTTTGCGTTTTTTGATAACAGATGAATTAATAGGCATCAGATTCGGTGTGCAAGGTTTGTTCACATGATACATTTTTCGTATATAAATATGAAAAAAAAGCATATGAAAATTTCAGACTTCAGTGTGCGAAGACCTTTACTGCCATCATTATATTGTACATTTTGTTCATACAAAATCCTCAAAATGAGATTCACTAAATTTCAATCACATTTGAGTTGCCAAAATATTGGTGTATCCCTAAAGTAAATGGATGGTTGTGTGTGTTTGTTGCTCAAAGTGAGCATTTAGTTGTGTCAGACACTGGCTTCCATGCTTTTATAAGTGTGTAACATGTTGCTAGATGTGCTGGTTGGATCTACTGTGAGGACATTTTGGCATTCAGTTCAAATCTGACACAGAAACCAGCGCCTCATCTCCTGTGATTTGGCTCTCATACCTTGACAAAAGGGTGGTCCAGCAGGGCACTGGCGGTCCAGCGCCGCTTGGGTTCGCTCTCCAGACAGTGAGCCAGAAAATCCTTCCCCTCTGTGCTCAGCTTTTCAGGAATGGGCGGTTTGTGGCCCATTCCCACTCTATACATGATCTGGAAGTTATGCTCGTACTCGTGCCAAGGTCTCTGAATAAATAAACAGTTTGTCTCAATTACAATGCATACTTTTCTTTGTTGATGTGTTTATTTAAAGTTATCAGGATGAATGTACGATGTGCTACCACAGATATAATCAGAGGCAAGTTTTACAATGAATGTGCCATGGCTTAGGAAATCATAAACAATAATAGAAAATAGAAATAAATACAACTATTTTAAGAGCAAAATAATACAGAAATTATAATAATCCTCAAAAATAAATAAGCCAATAAATAAGTAGATGGAGGTAAAGGAAAAAAGCAACATAATACCATCTAATATTGGTGACTAGTCGCAAAGCCTATGGAAAGGCACATAAAACAACAATATATGAAGAGTTCAGATGCAAAAACCTCTAGAAGCCATTCGAAATTTCCTTCAAAACTGAGCAGTTTTATCTGGCTCCTATCTGTAGGTTCAGTAACTACAAGTTAATCACTAATAATTCACTCTTTTAAAGGTCTTTAAAGTAAAATAACTCAACATAAACAAAGGGGTCTGAGATAAAAATGCTAATTTCCAGTGGAAATTTCAGATGGCACTTACAGGTTTTTGCATCCGTACTCTTCATATACACCACAACACTATCCTATAATGGAGACACGTCATTTGACAATACATACTTTTGAAGGCCATTTTCTTAATTTGTTTTAGATTGGTTTTTACAGTAAGATTTGTTCATGCATATTTTTCTGTTAAAGGGTCACGAAACACCAAAACACATTTTTTGAGCTGTTGACAGTCATATATGTGTCCCACACTGCTAAAAACACTTTTAGGACACCTATATTTCACTAAATAGTGTAAATTGGTTGTTTTTGCGTTATTTCAAGCAAATTTGTACTTCCTGTTTGAAACGAATTTTTGAAGCTGCGTCACGGCCATGACATAATAGCGTGTATTCCAGCGTGCAGACTGGATGTCTGTGCCAGAGTGTGTCTTATTACGTCTTACAGTGTGATGCATTAATGCATGAGTAAGGCTTGATTCAAACCAATCAGCGCGCTCTATTGTGCAACTTCATTAATATTCATTATTGTCACCGTGTTTACACCACAAAGACGCCAAGTTGTGTTGGCAAAACAAGCGTGAAGTGCTTTTATAGTTTGCTGCTGTTAAGTTTCGTTTTCATTTTCTCTCTGTGAGAGCTTATCTGGATCACGTGTGGATTAACAGGCGACGCGCGACAACAATAACTTACGTGTCTAAGGAGGATTGTTGTTTACCTGAGAGCTGTTCTCATCTGCAAACGCTGAAATCTGGATTCGCTTGTAGTCTTCTCTTCATAAAGACGCGGCTCTAGTTGCTGGTGATTGTTCTGTCTCTACAGATTTGGTAAGTGAGCGACCAGTGCTCTTTGTTTATTCAGTTTGTTCGTATCGAACTAAGTTAACTATTGCACTGAGAGCAGAAATGTTAGCACCGCATTTTGTGACCGGAATAACAAACGCGGCTTTCTGACACTACCTGCCGTGTGCATCTAAGTTTCCGGGAAATGCAGAGTTTTTTTTCTCTCATTCGCCGTGCGTTATCAAACATTGCATGAAATATACACGCTTGCAGCAATTCCTCGAATCAAATATCTCGTTTGTCGCGAGAGGCATGAATGAATTCCCTGAATGAAAGAGCCAAACTGCAGTTAAAGTCCA